ACGCGTAGTAGTCCAACGCGTAGTAATGCAACGCGTGGTAATTCTAAGCGTAGGAATCTAACGCGTGGTAATCTAACGCGTAGTTAACCAACGCGTAGTAATCCAGCGTGTGGATATCCAACGCGTAGTGATCCAATGCGTGGGTATTCAACGCGTAATAGTCCAACGCGTAGTAATGCAACGCGTGGTAATTCTAAGCGTAGGAATCTAACGCGTGGTAATCTAACGGGTGATAATCTGATGTGTTCTACCGTAGAATATCTAAACAGTAATAATAAATATAACAAAACATTAAAATCGTACAACAAATGTAATAACACATCAAAATCGTGCAACAAATATAATAACAATTTTACAATTTTAATTAAAAATCATCAATTATTAAAATTTAATAAATAATTGTGGACCACTACTAATTTTTATACCAAACTTTTATTGAAGAGTGCACAAAAAAACCTACGCTGAGACAAAGAATGTTTAAGTAACTATTAAACACGAATTAACATAATGGTAGCTAATTGCAACGTGATTAACGACACTGTATATTCGCCGTAAGGAAAACATGAAGTTATTTCAACGAGAAGGATATTCAGCTTTATAAATCACGATCGAACGATCAATAATGTATTTAAATTTCGTCGCATCTCCGGCGACCAAGGTTTTCCCGTGGAACGCTGATCGTTCACTGTACACTATGTACATCCTTTGTTCTCATTTTTATTATCCTTGTTCTGAGAAACTTGTATCATTCGCATTCAAATCAGTATGGATCAAATGATGCGAGCGTTACACGTGTCTTGAGGGAAATGTATTAAATTGCTGTCAATGGGATGGTTAATTCAGTCATTTTTAACAAGTTCATTCGAAATAATATTTGGTAAATATTTTAAAAATTTGGGACATTTTAAAGAAATGTAGTATTTTTAGTACTTTTGGTATTTTTAGTATTTTGGATATGTTGGGTATTTTTAGTATTTTTGGTATTTTTGGTATTTTTAGTATTTTTTAGTAGTTTTGGTATTTTAGGTATTTTTAGTGTTTTTAGTATTTTTGTTATTTTTAGTATTTTTAGTATTTTTAGTATTTTTAGTATTTTTACTGTTTTTACTATTTTTACTATATTTAGTATTTTTTACTATTTTTAGTATTTATACTATTTATACTATTTTTACTATTTTTACTATATTCAGTATTTTTACTATTTTTACTATTTATACTATTTTTAGTATTGTTACTATTTTTAGTATTTTTTGTATTTTTACTATTTCTATTGTTTTTACTATTTCTACTACTTCTACTATTTCCACTATTCCATTATTTTATTATGTTATCATTTCACCATTTATACCGTTGCACCTATTCCACTATTTTACTACACCATCATTTTCCTACTTTATTATTTTACTATTTTACCATCTGTATCACTTGCACCATTTATACTATTTCACTATTTCCTACTATTTTACCGATCACATCACCTTCCTATTTTATGATACCACTCTCTCTCACATCCATTAACGAATGCAATAATCCCTCATCCATTTTGCATTAAAACAATAACGCTTTCCCAGAATTTTACGCTTCAAATATAAAGTGTAAGTGGAATTTTACGATACTTGTTATCAAACCGCGTTCTACTGTTCATCCATTCGATTTCAAAATACAACGACCTAATAGTTTTTTAATGTAAAGTCGCAAGCTCATAAATTATATGTTGCAACTGAAATGATTGTTCTTCGTGCGAGTCGCTTCTTAAACGCCATTTGCTGCCTGGTCAGGTGCATTCTTCTCCCTTTTGTTCCCATCTAACGAAATCGAACGACTCTCTCTCTCTCAATTTGTAATCGCCTCGATTACCAAATTCGTCGAATGACGAATAAATATTCCACACAGGTAGAATAAAAAATCATTCAACCGCATTTCGGTCCAGTCATCTTCGGGAAAAGTCATTTGTTCCGTTGCCTTTGACTTACGTCAGCGATCGACAATCCATCTTTTTACGATCACTGTTGCGTAATTTGGTGGTTCAGTAATATTTGATGAGATATAAATACTTCCTTGTCATTTTTTTAATTCACTTATTTAGAAATAAGTTACATATATTTTTTTTTAAGACTTCACTGTACCTTCTGAGGAGACATTTTAAATTACAAAATAAATTTTTGGAGTGCAGAGTTTTAGAATATATTTGCAAATTGTCAAATGTGGAAATGTTATATTTTTTTCTTTGTCAAAAGTAGCAGATTAGTAGGAGGATTTCTAAACCACAGAGAAGTGAATTGTAGAGAAGTTAATGTGGAGCTTTTCAGCGTGAAGCAGTTAACTATAATTAGGGCAATCTCAGCACGAAACTGTTTCACTGCGATAATACCATCTCCTGACAATTGTTTGAATTTTGCACAATGATGATTCTCGTGACAGAGTAAACTACATCTACGAATTGTATTTATTCTGAATGTTATAAACCTTGTAAATAATACCAAAATCCCTATATTGCAATATTCTCTACGAGTGTTTCGAAACACCTACTGAAATATTTCAAAAAACCATCAAATTTTTAATTTGATCACTACGTTTAATCGCTACGATCACCATGTTCAGATGCCAACAAAAAAAATTCAGTTCATTACTGAAATCTTTCCACTGAAAAAATTGCAAATGTCCAAATTTTGAAAAATACAAATGATCAGTAAATCTTAAATAAATCAGTAACTTTGTGAATTAATAAAAAAGTAACTAATATGTGAAATCATACAGAACTCGAATCGTTCAAATTTTGTTTTTGTTCCCAAAATTTTGATCTCTGTAATTTTTAAGTAGGTTGTTTCTGTGTGAATTGTCGAAAAGGTGTTCCATAATTACGCGTGTCCACATACAAGTCAAGCAGGACATTTACGGCAGAACGTGAGCAAAATCAAATAAGTTAAAAAACACCGTGTCTACTTGTATCGAATCGAAGACCTAGCGTGAATTCGTTATTGGCAGACATACGTTTCGTCTAAATTTGACTTTGCTTACTCCTCGAATAATTCCGCGCAAGAAGCGGCAATATCTTGTGTAAATCTTTGCGTCTGCGTTTGCGAAAACATGAGGCTCTTGTACACTTCGTATTTTTTAGAAATATATTTTGTCAAATATTTTGAATAATTGAATCAATGATTAACGTCTCGGTTGTCATGTTAATATTTTCCTATATATAATTCTTATTTAATTCTTTTTTATTTTATTATGCAATAGTTAGTTTAATTGTTACTTTAATAATATGTTAGTTTGATAAACTTTGATATAATTATGAATGCTGAAATTATGAAAATCATCTAATCGATTTCCCACAGTTTTCTCCACGTTTCGTGCAATTATGAGTTAAAATTACTAGGTGGATAATTTATTTCAATTTCGCGATCCAGTGTGGAATATGCAGAGAATTCTAAACACGCATAACGCAACTCGTCTCGCGTCGTCGACTATTTCGAACATTCATTTATCTGATATCCCCGAATTTAATAACTTTAACTCTGTCACTGGATTATCTGGTTCAGGTGAAATTAATTTTTTACTTAATTAGAATTATAAATGAAAGAAATTGAAAAGCTCTGCGATTGTATTTCAATGTAGTTCTGTCGCGGTACCGGTTAGGTTATGGGACGCCATTATGGTAACCTTAAGTCCCTTACACAATCTTAATAATAATTAAACTAAACCGTCGTTCACATATAGATGAAGCTTTTCATGTTAAAATGTTACACTTGAAAATTTAGAAATTTAAATTATTTTTTTCATTAATAAATTAATATTTCAGGTAAATATTTTGATCAATGCAAATTCTTTAATATTTACAATTAAGTTGCTGATTGAAGTGTCAGTTCGTCATTTTGGGTTACCAATGTAATTTTACTAAGATTCAAAATTAATTTGCTTATTAACGTTTCAGTTAATCATTTCAAGTTATCAGAAAAATTGTATTAATACTAAAAATTAATTTCTTTATTAACGTTTCAAACAATTATTTCAAGCTACCAGTGCCATTGTATTAATACTAAAAATTAATTTCTTTACTAATGTTTCTAACAATCATTTCAAGTTACCAGTACAATTGTATTAATACTAAAAATTAATTTCTTTACTAACGTTTCAATCAATCATTTCATATTATCAGAAAAATTATATTAATACTAAAAATTAATTTCTTTACTAATGTTTCTAACAATCATTTCAAGTTACCAGTGCACTTGTATTAACACTAAAAATTAATTTCTTTACTAACGTTTCAATCAATTATTTCAAGTTACCAGTGCACTTGTATTAATACTAAAAACTAATATGTCTACTAACATTTCAATCAATCATTTCAAATTACCAGTGCAATTGTATTAATTCTAAAAATTAATATGTCTATTAACATTTCAATCAATCATTTCAAATTACCAGTGCAATTGTATTAATAATAAAAACTAATATGTCTATTAACATTTCAATCAATCATTTCAAATTACCAGTGCACTTGTATTAATACTAAAAACTAATATGTCTATTAACATGTCAGTTAACGGAGTCACTAGTTGATTAATATTCAAAATCAATTTCTCAATGTTAGACTTCAATTACTCCCTTCAAGTTACATCTATGTACAATGTAACTTAGTCACAACGAAACCCTATAAAATAACCCTTAGTCACAAACGAACCTTATTCATCCTTAAATAATTAACCCTATTCATCAAACTTAAGTACACTTCTGACCCATAACATCACTATAATCCCACACCCAAATACTTATATAATAATAATATATTTAATATATTTAAGTACTTAATATACAAACTAGTCTAAAGTACAACAAAATATAAAAACAGCAAAAAGTACACAAGAATAAGTACACCAAACACACATGTACAATATATAATACCGTCAAAATATTTTCATATTCAACTCGCAAAGATGCAAAAGTCAACTCACCGTGATAAATGAAATCGCAGAACACGTATCCTTTTCTATTCACAGTTGCCAAACAATCGTTGTCTATCTCCGCTATCTAATCGCCAATAAATCGATAAGTGTTCGCAGGGATTCGGATCACTTAGATTTCGATCGAACCTCCGTGGCGAGGAGAGCACCTTCGTGCTTGACCACCTTCGAGGAAACTGAGCTACCGCCATCAAAACCGTGTTTTATATCGGCATAAGCTGGTAACACCTGTGCGTGTATACCGGTGTGCTAGCACGCTGTCACACCGTGGGGTAACAACACCGACCCCACCAGCCATCTCATGCCGATTTCTGCCTTCTTACGATCTCTGTCGATCGTTCTCGACTGTCCAAGGGTCGTTCGCGTGCGCGTGGTCGTTCCTCCAGCTTAGCACCGATCTACCAAAATTCTTCAAATTCGTTTGCTCGAACTCGTGTGTGCAAGTGTCAGTGGAAGTGTTAGAAATACGAGTCTGTGGACCCTGGTCTCAATGAAACTTTTCGAACTTTTAATTAATATGGAACTTTCATGGTTTTGAACTTTCATTGTCGGAGAGAAGCTTGATAATGTAACAGAGTAGTAAAATTGTGGTGTGGTGGAAAGAGTAATAAAATACGACGATGATAGAATAGGAGCGCTTGGTGGATCTGGACTAATAAAGCAGTGTGATCAGTATAACAAAATTGTCGAAGATATTGTAGATATTGTAAGATACTGTAGATACTGTAATAATCCAGTGAAAACATTTCAAGATTTCTTGTATCCAGTCAGAGGTAGAGGTTGTACTATTTATGAGGAGAGTCAGAATCGTGCAGTATTAAGACAAGGTTGAAATTTCATGTCAATTTTGTAATAACTAGCAAATGATTGAACTCCAAATTCAAGTATCAAAACAGTCGAATAATGATACTGTTGTAGATATTGTAATGGAGCTCAGTGAAAATGTCCACATTTCTAAATTAGCTTGTATTCAGTCAGATGTTTAGTTCAAGCTCTTGTACTATTTATGAGGAGCGTCAGAATCATGCAATATTCAAAGTTGAAATTTCATGTCAATTTTGTAATAACTAGCAAATGATTGAACTCCAAATTCAAGTATCAAAACAGTCGAATAATGATACTGTTGTAGATATTGTAATGGAGCTCAGTGAAAATGTCCACATTTCTAAATTAGCTTGTATTCAGTCAGATGTTTAGTTCAAGCTCTTGTACTATTTATGAGGAGCGTCAGAATCGTGCAAGATGTTTAGTTCAAGCTCTTGTACTATTTATGAGGAGCGTCAGAATCATGCAATATTCAAAGTTGAAATTTCATGTCAATTTTGTAATAACTAGCAAATGATTGAACTCCAAATTCAAGTATCAAAACAGTCGAATAATGATACTGTTGTAGATATTGTAATGGAGCTCAGTGAAAATGTCCACATTTCTAAATTAGCTTGTATTCAGTCAGATGTTTAGTTCAAGCTCTTGTACTATTTATGAGGAGCGTCAGAATCATGCAATATTCAAAGTTGAAATTTCATGTCAATTTTGTAATAACTAGCAAATGATTGAACTCCAAATTCAAGTATCAAAACAGTCGAATAATGATACTGTTGTAGATACTGTAATGGTAGCTCAGTGAAAATGTCCACGTTTCAAAATTTCTTGTATTCAGTCAGATGTTTAGTTCAAGCTCTTGTACTATTTATGAGGAGCGTCAGAATCATGCAATATTCAAAGTTGAAATTTCATGTCAATTTTGTAATAACTAGCAAATGATTGAACTCCAAATTCAAGTATCAAAACAGTCGAATAATGATACTGTTGTAGATACTGTAGTGGTGCTCAGTGAAAATGTCCACATTTCTAAATTAGCTTGTATTCAGTCAGATGTTTAGTTCAAGCTCTTGTACTATTTATGAGGAGCGTCAGAATCATGCAATATTCAAAGTTGAAATTTCATGTCAATTTTGTAATAACTAGCAAATGATTGAACTCCAAATTCAAGTATCAAAACAGTCGAATAATGATACTGTTGTAGATACTGTAATGGAGCTCAGTGAAAATGTCCACATTTCTAAATTAGCTTGTATTCAGTCAGATGTTTAGTTGACCCCCTTGCATTATTTATCAAGTGCAAAAGTCAGAAACATGCAATATTAAAACTGACAAAGAATAGTTCTATTCTACTAGAACTAACATATGTTCACTACTAATAGACTGTGCGAATAATTGAATCCTCAATGATTGAGTCTTCTAAGTCCACCTAATAGAGTCCTCCAAATTCACTCCTCAGAATTAAATACTAGAACTATGTTCACTAGTAATAGAACAGACTGTGAAAATAATTGAATCCTCAATGATTGGATCCTCCTAAGTCCACCTAAGAATTAGAGTTCTCCAAATTCACTCCTCAAAATTAAATACTGGAACTTCGTTCACCAGTAGTAGAATAGATTGTGCGAACAATTGAATCCTCAATGATTGGTTCTCCTAAGTCCACCTAATAGAGTCCTCCAAATTCACTCCTCAGAATTAAATACTAGAACTATGTTCACTAGTAGTAGGATAGACTGTGTGAATAATTGAATCCTTAATAATTGGGTCCTCCTAAGTCCACCTAATAATTGAGTCCTCCAAATTCACTCCTCAGAACTAAATACTAGAACTTCGTTCACTAGTAATAGAACAGACTGTGCAAAAAATTGAATCCTCAATGATTGGGTCCTTCTAAGTCCACCTAATAGAGTCCTCCAAATTCACTCCTCAGAATTAAATACTAGAACTACGTTCACTACTAATAGAACAGACTGTGCGAATAATTGAATCCTCAATGATTGGATCCTCCTAAGTCCTCCTAATAATTGAGTCCTCCAAATTAAGTCCTTCCCCAAAATTAAAAATTCTAAAATCGATCACAAAGTCCGACACGAGTCAAATAGTGCAAAGGGTTGAATAACCTTCTATATAGTAACAATGTTGTCCTAAGTCCACCTAATTGAGTCTTCCCTCAAAATTAAAAATTCTAAAATCGATCACAATAGTGCAAGGGGTTGAATAACCTACTACACCGTAACAACGTCCTGCCAACAATTTATGGAAAAGAGTAACCTAACCTTTGTCTCGATAAAAGACGTCAACGTGCTACTGAATAACAAACGATAAGAATTTGGTTGATATTATTTTCAACTGCGTGCAACATCGATGTAAAGTGTCTGACAAAGAATTTATTTTCATTGTAGTATACGTGATACATTTGTTAATCTGCTGCGATTTTTATTTAGATTCGTTCTTCAAGGTTTTCGAGGTGAATCTCAAGTGCAAAGCTGCAATTAGTGGATATTTTTTAAGAGGTGAATTTTGTGGTATGAATACAGATTTGCTGTTGTGTGTTATTGTACTTTATATGAAGCTTGGAGAAACTGCGTTGTAATGATGTACAAAAATGTAACAAATGTTAAAAAAAGTTCAAGGTGAGCTACATATTTATTGTAGATCGCCTCGCAGGTGCAATAAAACCGGTACACTTTGCAATCTTTTTTTTTATTAGACACCTTATTGTATAAACTTTTTTCAGGGAAAAAAATGTCTGACAAATGGATTTATTTGTAACTGTGCTTCTACAATTATTCACTGCAATTTGTATAACATCATGACATTTTGTTTATGTTTCTTAAACATGTTTTACAACCTTGGTATGCATATAATGTGTTATACATATAGTGCATGTAAAGTACACAGATTTAGGTACAAGTTGAGGAAGCAACCCCTAAAATTCTGATCACATTTTACATTTCGATCAATCATGTTATTACTAGTTTTATTCTTATGGTGTTTATTTGAAGTCATGAACAATCATTTCAAATATATTTTTTGTTAAAGTCTCTGTAAAGCATACGCATATTTTTGACATTTTCTTTATGTTTTCTTTTAACATGTTTTGCAACCTTGATATGTACATAATGTATTATATGGTGCATACAGTGTACATAGCTTTAGATACAAGTTGAGGAAGCAACCCCTAAAATTCTGATCACATTTTACATTTCGATCAATCATGTTATTACTAGTTTTATTCTTATGGTGTTTATTTGAAGTCATGAACAATCGTTTCAAAGATATTTCGTGTTGAAGTCTCTGTAAAGCATACGCATATTTTTATAACATTTTCATTATGTTTTTTTTTTAACATTTTCTTTATGTTTTTTTTAACATGTTTTGCAACCTTGATATGTACATAATGTATTATATGGTGCATATAGTGTACACAGCTTTAGGTACAAGTTGAAAAAGCAACCCCTAAAATTCTAATCAGGTATTGCACGTTGGTCGATCATGTTATTACTAGATTTATTATAATGGTTTATTTCAAGTTATGTACGAACAATCGTTTAAAAGATACAATCGTTTAAATTTTGTCTTAAAGTTTCTGTAAAGCATATGCATTGGCCAGGAGCCAGGTATGCCATGGCATGCGATACAGGGTGTCTTAAATCGAAAACGATGCATCTTATAAGAAGATACAACATCTCAGAAGCTTAACAAAAATTGACAAATTGTTACAAAAAACAAATTGACAAATTGTTACAAAAAACAAATTGACAAATTGACAAAAACAAATTGACAAATCGTTACAAGAAACAAACTACGACATAAATACTTCATCCAGCTATAAAACAATGTAGAGAATCTTAAAGACAACGATTTTAAACGAAACACTGTATCTTCCACGATAATACACTACCGTCTGACGAACAAAACCGACGTACATATTTATTCAAAAATATTTGTCCATCCATTCGTCACGAGTTTATCTATTTCCCTCCAATAGAGGAAGTATATTTCTACGTCCGCAAAATATCAAAAGAATATTACGCAATTCAGATGTAAGTGCTTCACGAGCAAAGTTCCTTCTTCGAATTTTGGAATTCGTTGTTTATGACGTAGTCTTTAGCGCGTACCATAGTTCAGCAAATACTTGGGTGACCACGTGTCAACAGTGAATTATTCATTTATACGGACATATACGTATATTAATCGATTTATGGTAATTTGCTGGCACATCCATCACTGCTATTAACTCGTAATTAGACAAATAACGAGGAGACCCATCTCTCGATCACGTTCAAAGACTCCTTAGGTTGCAACCGAACCTATAGTGTTGGATATATACTTGGTTATTTCTGTAATGAAGTCTACTAGATAATTTCGGGTATAGTAAAA